ATTCCGATATTGTCAATTAAAGTAGTAATGTTTACCTTAAATCAAAATTGTTGCTTAGATGTAACGTTATTTGTATTAAGGTAAAATTTATTGATTTTCTTAGATTTTTACAGTGTCGAATGCCTTCGCTAAGTCGACAAAGACACAAAGATGCATTCCTGCTATCTATATATTCCGATAGTGTTAATTAAAGTAGTAATGTTTACTTTAAATGAAAATTGTTGCTTAGATATAATGTTATTTGTATTAAGGTAAAATTTATTAATTTTCCTACATTTTCTAATATTTTTACAGTGTCGAATGCCTTCGCTAAGTCGACGAAGACACAAAGATGCATTCCTGCTGTCTATATTTTCCGATATTTTTAATTAAAGTATTAATGTTTACCGTAAATCAAAATTGTTGCTTAGATATGTTATTTGTATTAAAGTAAAATTTATTGATTTTCCTAGATTTTCTAATATTTTTACAGTGTCGAATGCCTTCGATAAGTCGACGAAGACACAAATATGCATTCCGATATTTTTAATTAAACTAGTAATGTTTACCTTAAATCAAAATTGTTGCTTAGATATATTATTTGTATAAAGGTAAAATTTATTGATTTTCCTAGATTTACTAATATTTCTGCAGTGTCGAATGCCTTCGCTAAGTTGACGAAGACACAAAGATGCATTCCTGCTATCTAAATTTTCCGATATTTTTAATTAAAGGTAATGTTTACCTCAAATCAAAATTGTTGCTTAGATATATTATATGTATAATGGTAAAATTTATTGATTTTCCTAGATTTTCTAATATTTCTGCAGTGTCGACTGCCTTCGCTAAGTTGACGAAGACACAAAGATGCATTCCTGCTATCTAAATTTTCCGATATTTTTAATTAAAGGTAATGTTTACCTTAAATCAAAATTGTTGCTTAGATATATTATATGTATAATGGTAAAATTTATTGATTTTCCTAGATTTTCTAATATTTCTGCAGTGTGTAACGTACAAAGTTACGTTGACTACCTAGGGTAGTGCCGCTAGCTACTGCGGAGGGAGGGGTGGTCCGCTAAAGTTTTATTCTTATAAGGGCGCCAGGTAAGTTTGCCAGCACACCCAGAATACATCCAGTAACCTACCAACTATGAGTATCCTAAGGCCCAAGATGTTACGTAGATACCATTAAAAAAAATGAAAATTACACTATTTACCAAGTTTATTCAAATAACCCGTAAATATGACAAAACAAATAAGATCAAAATTCAAAAGTGTGATAGAGAAATTAAAAATAAAATAATAATAATAAATTTAGGAAATAATAAATTTAGCCTATAAACAATGAGTATGAAATTATGTAGCTATCAGCTAAGCTATAGTTATATAAAGCATAAGCATTAAGATTAAGGCCAAATATTAAATATTTCGTCAAGCCTGTAATTAACTTAAGTACTATGATGAGGCGTAGCAAAAAAAAAAAAAAAAAAGAAAACATAGGCAACAGAGTAAAAATTAACTACAGGTTTCTAGGCGTTGATCAGATACCTAAATCTTAAAAAAAAATTATTCCTTAAATCAAGAAGCACCGCTAGAGCTCTGGCGCACGCTTATAACGTTGGCGTAATTACGCAAATATATTTATAAAGCAAATAAAACACCATAGAATTCTGCTTACAATAGGCAGATCCAAAGATAACCTTAATTGGTTATTTACGTAAAAGTAAGAATTATACACAAAAAAAAATATATATATATAAGCAATGAATGATTAAAGTTACTGCAATTTGTAGCTATAACCAAAGCAATAATTAAAAAGCATGCAAATTAAATAACGATAACTAAAGTTTAACTTGCGCAATTCCAGCGAAGGAAGTTCTACTCCAGGAACAGCGATGCAACTCAACACCAATTATTTGGCACTCCAAATAAACTTCATATATAAAAAGAATCTTCCCGAGCAAGAGAGATAATGTCCCAATTCTCTTTAACACTCAAAAAAAAAGGAATGGAAACATCTACATAGATTGAATGCGGCAAACCAAACCAGAAAAGAAAAACCCTAAAATATTTCAAAATACAATTAGCAATTTGTTTCAATATCAAAAGCAAAATTGTATTAATAAATATATTAATGAAAATAAAATACTATCTTCTTTCTTTAAAAAAAAAAAACATTAATGAAAATAAAATATTATAAATAGGCGAATAAAGTATATCGCATATAGTTATTTATTATTTAAATAAACTTTTCAGCCAGACAATTTGGCAACAATAATTAAAAGGCTGGTATAGAGATGTGGGGGCATTCAAATTTAAATAATTAAAAATAACGGTTGAAAGAACTGAATTATCGGCATATTATTAAATAAATTATTTACTTACCCTGGCCAATGGGGTTTTGTCGTTTACACAATCAATTGTTTTATATGTTAAATAGCGATTAAAGGCCTCGAAATGGTGAAATCCTACAATATACAAGAAAAAGACAATCAGTAACGGTAACGATAACAAAAAAAAAGAATCAATGGAATATTTTACGATTTAAAGAAACTGCGTGACTGAACCTCGCAAAAAAAAATTTTAACGAATAAAAACCAAATACATACCTAAATTTCAATGGTACAAAAGTTGAATTGTACACAAGCTCGAATTAAATCCTCACTTGGAGAGCGTGTTTTAACAATAAATATCCAAAGTATCACTTCGATACAAACTAACCAGCTGTTAGAACACTAGGATGGTCTTATGAAAAATCCCCCAAAGGGCTGAACACAAATTTTTCAAAAATATCACTTGACCACTACTGTAGATGTGTACTCAACAAGATTGTTTCCCAAAATGTCCCCCGGACATATGGTTGGCCTGTTGGCCCCTACCACTATGCCAGTTGACTTAGAAGAGACCACGTCACTTCCTGACATTTTAAATTCAAAAATTTTGAAAATATTTACCATCAAAAGATTTATTCTTTAGTTATAATTTAAAGTTTGATGAATAACATTTACCTTATCATAGTAATAACTTACCATGAACCCTACAAATACAATATTTTACCACAAATACCCTCACTTAACTAATAATTAATATTTTATTCTTAATGCGGACCCAGAATTTGTTCAAATAAATTTGGCAACATCGCGTAGGGTACAGCCAAACCTACGAGACATGCAAAATTCAAAATTTTACTTTAGAGGTGGAAGAACCCAATTTAAACTGTTACAAGTGTCGAATGCCTTCGCTAAGTTGACGAAGACACAAAGATGCATTCCTGCTATCTAAATTTTCCGATATTTTTAATTAAAGGTAATGTTTACCTTAAATCAAAACTGTTGCTTAGATATATTATAGATATGTATAAAGGTAAAATTTATTGATTTTCCTAGATTTTCTAATATTTTTACAATGTCAAATGTTTTCGCTAAGTCGACGAAGACACAAAGATGCTTTCCTGCTATCTATATATTCTGATATTGTTAATTAAAGTAGTAATGTTTACTTTAAATCAAAATTGTTGCTTAGATATATTATTTGTATTAAGGAAAAATTTATTGATTTTCCTAGATTTTCTAATATTTTTACAGTGTCAAATGCCTTCGCTGAGTCGACGAAGACACAAAGATGCATTCCTGCTATCTATATTTTCCAATATTGTTAATTAAAGTAGTAATGTTTACCTTAAATCAAAATTGTTGCTTAGATATAATGTTATTTGTATTTACAATTTACTGATTTTCCTAGATTTTCTAATATTTTTACAGTGTCAAATGCGTTCGATAAATAGAAGAAAACATAAAGATGCATTCCTGCTGTCTATATTTTCCGATATTGTTAATTAAAGTAGTAATGTTTACTTTAAATCGAAATTGTTGCTTAGATTTAATTTTATTTGTATTAAAGTAAAATTTATTGATTTTCCTAGATTTTCTAATATTTTTACAATGTCAAATGCGTTCGATAAATAGAAGAAAACATAAAGATGCATTCCTGCTGTCTATATTTTCCGATATTGTTAATTAAAGTAGTAATGTTTACTTTAAATCAAAATTGTTGTTTAGATTTAATTTTATTTGTATTAAAATAAAATTTATTGATTTTCCTAGATTCTCTAATATTTTTACAATGTCGAATGCCATTTGCTAAGTCGACGAAGACACAAAGATGCATTCCTGCTATCCACATAATCCGATATTTTTAATTAAACTAGTAATGTTTACCTTAAAACAAAATTGTTGCTTAGATATAATGTTATTTGTATTAAGGTAATTATCCAGTAACCTGGATATTGAAATATCTAATTTCCCGTATATATTGTAATAGATAAAGATCAAATTTCTAATCTACATCCGACAATACGGCTGGGGCTGCTAGTATTACACTTAAAGGTCATCTCAAACACTGTTATTTACTTAAAATATACAACCGTAATTTAATATTTTTTACATTTAAATAATCCACGAATCACGAATTCGAACAGATTTTTTTTAATTTTCACCTCCAACGGCATGCGTGCTAATGAAAACAAACGAACGAATGACCTTTACGCAACCCACTTATAAATACATGCTTCATTTGACTGTAAAATGCCACGTCACGAATTTAAAACAATTATTCTATAATAAAGATCTACGGGCATGACTCACCAGCAGGCGTTATCGTTCATCAGTAGCTCGGAGAATTAACTCACCTGCAAAGAAAAAAAAACAATGAAATTAATGTGGTTTGAATCGTATAAAAGTATAAAAGAGAGACACGACATGCGATTAGAGCTCGAGACAATAATTATTGTTGAAAGAAGTAGGTGATTTTTTTTTAAATTTCATTGTTTCAACACGTTAAGTGGCGTTACTCACAAAGGTATTTTAATGCTCGTCGGGTCACTATTATTTTCTTACTATATGGCGTTAAAAAAAACTCCGGTAGCTTCAGATAGAGTTACGAAAATTCCAGGTTTCAGTTGATGTACTCTGATTCTAATCTGTCAAATGAAAATGAAAATATACGCTTCATTAGGTAAATTACAGGCAAAAAGTATTTGCAAAAGTGGTGGCAGGGGCGGGATCTGTCAAGTCATCACCAGGTACATAGATGGACTGTACAGAAGTAATGGAACCTTTTTTATTGGTATTGATACGTTCCTGCATAGTACCCATATCAGCGGCCAAGGTGGGTTGGTAACCTACGGCTGAGGGGATACGACCCAGAAGGGCAGATACCTCGGAACCAGCCTGAGTAAATCTAAAAATGTTGTCAATGAAAAGCACATCCTGTCCTTCTTGATCACGGAAATATTCAGCTACAGTCAATCCAGTCAAGGTGATAAGGGCACGAGCACCTAGAGGTTCATTCATTTGACTATAGACTAGAGCTATCGCTGAGGTTTTGTCTTTGAGGGAGATGACTCTGACATGGACTTTGGCTACATTGTTAATAAGTTCCATAATTAATTCAGTTTTTCCTACACCTGCACCACCAAAGAGACCAATTTTACCTCCTTTGGCATAGGGGGCCAAAAGATCTACGACCTTGATTCCAGTTACAAGAATTTCTTGTTCTACACTCATATCTACGAATTCAGGAGCTTCAGCATGGATAGAGGCTCTCTTCTCAGTTTCAATGGGACTCCTTTCGTCAATAGGTTCACCCATTACATTTATAATCCTTCCCAAAGTAGCATCTCCTACTGGAATACGGATTGGGTAACCTGTATCATTGACAGGTTGACCACGAACGATACCTTCTGTACCATCCATAGCAATAGTACGTACTGTATTTTCTCCCAAATGCTGAGCAACATCAAGAATCAGTCTGGGTTGTCTGTTTTGAACAACTGTTAAAGAAAATAACAGCAAAAGATCCAAAATCTTACAAAAATTCGGTAAAATTATTATGCGAGAAGTTTAAGAAACTGTTGAAACTTACAAAATTGTAAATAAATGAAACGGAAGTTACATTTTGATATCTTGCCACTAGGTACAATTGGGGATTCTTTATATGGTAATAAAAGATGAAAAACTACTTACTAGTGGTTGATAGAAAGTTAATTAATCATTTTTTATTAAAAATTATTGATTTTCTATTAATGTCGAAGTGTATTATTATTATTAAAACAACGAATAATGAAGTACAAGACAGCGACGCAAGAATTTCCATTAATTTATAATTACCCATTAATTAAATCTGCTATCGTGATTTGATGAAAGACGCAAATTTTTGACCTGAATGCCTGGAATAACTTCGCATCGATTATTGTTTAAATTCAGATCTTCGACTGCGACATTTCAGGTTTTCCGTAATTTATTAGTTGTTAAAGCGCCACCACCAAGATATTCTAATCAATCATAAAAACTAAATAAAAACAAAAAACGTATAGAGTATATTTGACAGAAGGAGACGCAATAGATCTTTTAAGTTGCAGTGTATTAATATGCATAAGTCACTTAATTGTTTCACATCGAATCTGATGAATAAACGTCAGCAAATTGAAGAAGAGTTAAGTGAATATATCATCAATAAAAGCAAGGAAGAGTATGGGTCCTAAGTTGGATCCTTGGAGTAGTCCTAATAGAAATTTAAACCCTTCTAAAAAAAATGCATATTTTAATAATACTCTCCCTAATTCACCTACGTACGAGTGAATTATAAACCCAAAAGCTGAGCTTGTTCGAGGAAGGGACGGTTATTATTATTATTTGCTGCGGAGCTCCAGTGAAATCGTGTCTAACCAGCAGGACGTCCAAGTTGTTTAAGAGAAGGCCGACAAGACGAAAATGTCATTATTTGTTGTAAAGCGACCCTTACGGGATCGTCAAAGGGGTCGCTGTTAATTATAAAGCAACCCCTATGGGGTCGGCGAAAAATTATAAAGCGACCCCTATGGGGTCGCTGAAATTTATAAAGCGACCCCTACGATCGCTGTCTGGTTTTTCACAAAAATTATTTTTTTTTTATAATAAAAAAGATAACTTTAAAAATTTCCAATTTTTATATAAAAATCCTAATTTTCTCGTATTTGGGGGGGTATCACCAAATAATATTTTTTTCTTCAAATAATTCACTCAATAACATGCAACAATTTTTTTTCAATATTCCAATATTGTTTTTATTAAAAAGGGGGGAAAGGAGGGAAAAAACCTGGGGGGCTCGAAATAATTTAACTTTATTAACTATATTTTATTTTTTAATTTTTTTAATATAAAATATAAGACAATGTATAAAAGGGGGGTAACATACATACAAGAGAAGGCCGGCAACACAAAAATATGATTTGTTGTAAAGCGACCTCTAGGGGTCGCTAACTGTTATACAGCGACCCCTTTGGGGTCGCAGTTGATTATAAAGCGACCCCTACGAGGACCCCGAAAATTATAAAGCGACCCGTATGGAGCCGCTGAAATTTATAAAGCGACCACTAGGAGGTCGCTGACTGATTTTTCACAAATATAATAAAAAAAATAACTTCAAAAATTTCCAATTTTTATATAAAAAATCCTAATTTTCTCGTATTTGGGGGGTATCACCAAATAACATTTTTTCTTAAAATAATTCATCCAATAACATGCAACAATTTTTTTTTCAAAATTCCAATATTTTTTTTAAGGGGGGAAAGGGGGGAAAAACCTAAGAGGGTCGAAAGTGTTATAGTCTACCTTCACTAACTATATTTTATTATTTTAATTTTTTTTTAATACAAAACATAAGCCAATGTATAAAAGGGGGGTAAGGGGAGAAACGAAATATACAATTTTTTATTTATTTTAAAAATCTTTAATTAAAACATTTTTTCATATTTTTTAAAATAGTTATTAAAATTATAATTTTTAAATTTTTGGGGGCGGGGGGACAACGTCATATACCTTAAAATTTTCAGAATTCAATATCCTATAAACTGTGTGAATTTTGTTACAATAAAAAATATTAAGTTTACTCTTGAGGTCACTAACTGTTATACAACGACCCCTTAGGGGTCGCTGTTAATTATAAAGCAACCCCTACGGGGTCGCTGAAATTTAAAAATCTTTTTTGGGGGGAGGGGTTTGGGGTATCACCAAATAACATTTTTTTCTTAAAATAATTCACCCAATAACATGCAATAATTTTTTTTCAAAATTCCAATATTTTTTTTCATTATAAAACGAGGAAAAGGGGGAACAAAATCTGGAGGGATCGAAAGTATTATAATCTACCTTTATTAACTATATTTTATTTTATTTTATTTTTTTTTTAATATAAAAATTTTTAGTATAAAACGAAATATACATTTTCTTATTTATCTTAAAAATCTTTATCAAAATTATTTAAAACATTTTTCATATTTTTTGAGGGGCGGGGGGAAACGTCATATACATTAAAATGTTAAGAATTTAATATCCTATAAACTGTGTTAATTTTATTACATTAAAATATATCAAGTTTACTCTTGCAAGATTTTTGGAAAAGGGGGGATGTAGTGAACACCTTTAACACTCTTTAGATTTTGGTCCCAAATACTCTAAGGTACCACACATACTATAGTAATATTTTTTTTTCGATTCGCAAGTGTTTTTTAAGCCCATTCCCCCCCAAAAAAATAGGGGGGGGGGAGAAAAAAAGTGTTCGATTTGTCTTAATTTTTGTTTCCATCAGTATACTTTTTATCACGATTTGTCAAGCTCATGTTCGCTCTAGGTGTATAGTGGGTGTGGGGGTGATTTTTTTCATATAACTCTCGATCCTACATCCATCTAAATGACCTATATTGACCTCCGGGATACTTTTTTATGCTTATATATAATTTTCCTAAAATGGCCCGTATTGAAGAAATTTGACAAAAAGTGTAAAATTCAAAGTTTTAAGAAAATTGTTCAAATAAAAGTTGTTTGAAATATAATTCTCTATAATTTTTCTATACATGATTTTTCTTAAATGGACCGTAATGGAAAAATTTTACGAAAATTTTAATTTTTCAGTTTGCAATCAATATAAAAAATGTTTCGAATAAGATGTGTGTGGAAAATGTATGTATTTTGTTTATCCTCTAAACATTTACAGGGGTGATACACTAGGAGTGGATAATAGGAGTGGACAATAGGAAATTAATCGGAAAAAGACTATTATAACTAGACCAGTGGGTAGATTCTCGACTCGCAGGAATTTTTTCCTAAAAGTATTTTTGACGTTTTTCTATACATCGGAAATTTATGACATTTTCCTGCATATAGGAAAGCGTCATAAATTCCTATAGGAAAACGTTCCTACAAATCGAGAATTGGCCCCCAGGAAGTCATGTGATATTACAAATTTGATTACTTATTCAAAACTTTTTTTAAATTGTTATTTGTTGGGTACTTTTATTTCTTTCATGTTTAAGGTTATGTATCTATTAGATTTATTATTTATTCTTTACACAAAATACTAATACGTTACGTATTTGTAACACTTTTTGTTATTTTGAACTGGCTCATTATAATTAGTCTTGAGATCCCAAAGGTTCTTGCATAATGTGAAAGTCTGTTCGACAGTGTTGCTTAAAAAGTGAATTCCCGCAGACCAAAGAAAGTGTAGGGTAGCTTGAGATGGAGAAACATAAATTACAGAGGTCACTTGATATGATACTCGGATTCAAGCTCAACTCATGTTAGACACCGATACGTGGATTATTGTGAAAAGCTTGCATGTTGTTTTTACGTTTACATAGGTTCAAATTTAATTATTTTTTACGTAATACACTCGTATTACCTATCAAAACCTTACGGTACATATTTCCATTGTTTTGCCCCGCCATTAAATAAAATCCAATCAAATTCAATCATACTCATCGAGCTATAAGCTTCGTCCATCATATATAACTCGACTGCGATTTTATTGGAAGCAAAAACGACTTCTAGTCAACAGTTCGGCCTCGTTTTGATTTGGCATTTTGTTTGATCGACTCGAAATTGTCGAATGCATCGAATAAACAAGGTACGTGCTTTTCGAGCGGCGAAGAATTACTGCGTTTAGGTGGCAGTAAAATTTCCGGAGCGGTGCGAGCGAGAGAATAAAAGAGAGAGAGAGAGAGAGAGAGAGACAGCACGGTCGAGAGCTTTGTATATATATTTACTTACTTGGTTAGGGCCGATTTTATTGCTTGCTCGCTTTATGGTCATCAAGATTTGAGTTTATTGTCTGCGAGGTTGTAGTTGAGCGCCGAGGCTTAGCGTATATTGAAATTCGAGTTTGACTACAGTGTCTACAGTGGGGTGTAATTTGATATACATAGTTTAATTTTTGAAAAGATAGAAAAAATTCACAGTCGTTCGAGTGATAAATAAAAACTATACATCATTATTTTAAAAGGTTTATGTAATGATTTCTTAATTCCAAGTTACAATATTGTTTCTAAGTTAGAAAAATTGGTTTTTCTGAGTTCTAAGTGGGAAAACTCTATTTAAAAATCTATTTGTCTTAGCCTTAAGTTGGAAAAGTCAATTTATTGATGAGTAACAAAAAAATTCTAAATAGGAAACTTCCTTTTTTTCGAAATCAAGTGTTATTTCCAGAAGATTGACAGGTTTAAGGTTAATAACAAACATTCGAACTTTTTCTTATTATTATTAAGATTTAATTCATTTGTAGCAAACTATTCCCAAACCTTATCAAATGACAGTTTACTGGAATTTCCAAGAGTATCGATATCATTCTGAGAATTCAAAAGTGTAGTATCGTTTGAAAAGAGAAAGCAGAAATTAAGGTGAAGACAGTGAAATATATCTCATTCACATAAGTAAAAAAGATTAGTGGTCCTAACATGGATCCTTGCGGAACTCCATGTTGAACAGTAAGGAAGTTTCACAACTGGACAATAAAATATCCTGTATTAAAGGCACGACTTAAAAATATTGGGTGGTTTTACTCTTACACAATAAAAATTATTCTTGGTTATCAGCAGATCGTGGTAAACACAGTCAAATGCCTTCGAGAGATCATACATTGTTATAC